AAGAGACTGGATTAGAATCAATATATCCTGAGCAACTTAGGGAGAACATAAGGTGGGGAAATTAAGTGTAGTCACTGTGTAGTCACTCTTGAGGTTGTTGAAAAATATCAGAATTAGAAAGAAAATATAAAAAAAAGCCACATACACAAACGTGCACACCTAGATGTGCAGTGCTGCACACAGTCTAGAGGACAGTGAACTCAGCCTGTCTATCTGCAGGAGACTGAATGTCATGGGTGAGAATCATGACTCTCCAAGGCCAAGGGAAATGTATTGTTTTAGCCTTTATGCTCCACAGTTTCCAAAAGCCCACTGAATGCCAGTGGTTTATTAAAATAAGCCAAAGGGCCGGCTGCTGCATTTAAGAACCATATGGTATAGGCAACAGAGTAGATTGATGAGGAATTTTTTGATGACATGAACCAAATGGAACCCACTATATGAAAAGCCTGCTAGAACCCACAGTTCACTGCAGGCAAAAGAAGACTCCTTTAAAGAACAGGTGAAGTACAGAGCAACAAGAACAGGAGGAAGGCTGAGTCACACAGGCATTTAGGATCACGCGCAGAGAGCAGTCAGGCCCAGACTCCACACTGAGGAAAGCTTCCAATGCCCTGGTAAAAACCTGAGATTTTGGAATAAGCCCTGACTGCAACCCACAAGCTGTGTGGCCTTAGGTAAGTCACCCATCTCTCACTTTACTGACTCTCAGAGGCTCATGTACCCAACTATGGTTGTAGAATTACAGAACCTATTCAACAGGGCTGGTGTGCAAAATAATAAACAAATATCCATTACATGAAACACATTTCTAAACATGAAGAATATAGCTGGAACCACCGAGGACAAGCTCCCTGCCTTCATGGATCTTGTAGCCTGGTAGAAGAGATGAATGATTAATCAATAATCAATTTCAATGATAATCATGAAATATGTCAGGGTGGTGGTGTTCTATATAGGCTATCAGGATAGCTCCTTCATTACATGATGTTTGATCAGAGACCACAGAGGGTGAGTAATACGCCATGGGCAGATCCTAGGGAGGACGTTCCAGAAAGAGGAAAGAGTGGGAACATGGGCCGTGCCACAGGAACATGCTTGGTATATTTAAGGATTAGCAAGGAGGCCAATGTGTGGCTGAAGGGAAATGCGAGAGAGGGATGGTAAAAATTATGTCAAAGAAGTGATGGAGGGTAGACCATTCTGGGCTGCACTGTCCAACGTGGTAGCCACTAGTCAAATGTGTTTACTCAGCAATGGAACTGTGGCTGTGAATTAAGATGTGCAGTAAGTCTCATGTAGACACTGAATTCTGAAGACTTGGCACAATAAAAATAATAGAAAACATTTAATAATTGCTCTATTGATTACATGTTTAAATGATAATATTTTTGGTAAGTTAAATAAACTATATCACTAAAGTCAGTTTCATCTGTTACTTTTCACTCATTTAATGTGGCTACTAGAAAGTGTAAATAACCTTTGTGGGAATTATAGGTGACAGTCATGAGTTTGTCATTTATGTTCAGCAATACAGGAAGTTCAGAGAAATGCATTATGATGTACTTACCCTATTTCTCTGCACCTAGTGGAAAAATTTATGAGACTAGAATTCTATTCACAGACAAATTGTTCAAATGGAAAGGCAAGTAAAGGTATTGAGGGGAAAGAGACTGACTGGACTCAAGAAAAAGGAATAAATAATAAAACAAATAAAAGTGAATTGTTTAGAATATGGTAATGAAGTTCAATGAAATTAGCAAGTAATGATTGTTGAAATAGAAGACATAAGGTAAAATAAAATAGTCTGACAAACAGATAAAATTGGATCCATTTCTAAACTCCAAATGGATCAGACAAATACAGGCAAAAAAGAAACTACACAAGTTATTTCATTTTAATCATCCTGGTGGATGTGAACTGGGTTTACGCTTTTAAATCACACTGCCACGATGCCTATGAGGATAAGGGCTTTTAATGAGTTTACTGGCTATTTGTATATCTTCTTTTGTCAAGTGCACATTTAAAACTTCTGCCCATTTTTTTGGTAGTGCTATCTTTTTATTTCTTATTGATTGGTAGATGTTTGTATGTTCTAGATAAGAAACCTTTGTTGGGTCAGTCAGGCACACTGGCTCATGCCTATACTTTTGGAGGCCAAGGTGGGAGGGTCACTTGAGACCAGGATTTGAGACCAGCCTGGCCAACATAGTGAAACCCCAACTCTACTAAAAATACAAAAACTAACCTGGCATAGTGGTGTGCACCTGCAATCCCAGCTACTTGAGAGGCTGAGATACAAGAATCACTATCTGTACCACTATACTCCAGCTTAGGTGACAGAACAAGACTCTGCCTCAAAAAAGACAGAAGAAAGAAATGAAGGGAAGAAAGGAAAAGGAAGGGCAGGGGAAGAGAGGTGAGAGGGAGCGGGGAGGAGAAGGGGGAGGAGGACAGGGGAGGGGAAGGGAGAGGAGGAGG